GATTTGACGCAGAGTGAAAATCTGGTCAATTGTGGATTTGTCAGGTCTGAAGCCGCATTAGTGTGGTTCAATAATGTCATACACCATTGGGTTCATTCGTTCACACAGTACGCTGGATAGCGATGGGAAGAAAACTTATTCCTCTATAGTTGGCACATATCGTCTTGTCTCCTTTTTTGTGCTCGGGACACAGGATGCTGAAGTTCCAACCATTGGGCATGCATTCCTCTAGCCAAATTGTACTAATCAGGTGGTGCATGCTCCTGACCCCCAGTCTTGTATAGTTTGTCTGGTAACCCATCGGCTCCTGCTGCTTTATTGTTCTTGAGCCAATTAATTGCTTTTATGACCTCATCTTGGCTAGGTGGTATACACTCTATACCATCATCTCTTATTGGTATCTTATTGGTATCTTCTTCACCGCCACTATTCGATACCAGAAGCTTTTCAAAATGTTCCGTCCAGATCCTCAACACGCTGTCGGTATCTGTCACCAGGTTTTCTTCTTCATCTCTTCAGGAGGATGTGCCTGCAGCAAAACCTTCGGTTTGTTGTTTTACTCGTTGGTAAAATTTCCGGACTTCATTATGACTCCTGTACATCTCTATTTCCTCACGCCTCTTTTTTTCTGAAAACACGTTTCTCCTCTCTCCTTTTCGCTGTACGCTGCATTACGACACTCCTGATGGTACCATGGGTTTCTTGATTGTGGTTTTTGGTACCCAAGTGTTGCTTTTGCTGTATTTTGTAGGAAGTGGACAATTCTTTGCCATTGTGTTTCTATACTATTATCGGAACAATAAGTGCTTTCGTCAAGCAAGAGCGGAGAAGGCCTCTGCTACCTGTTGTGTTTGCAGCTTTTCGACGTCGAGTTTCCGTTTCCGACCTTGTGTATATCGAGATGCTTGAATCTGGTGCTGAAAACTATCATGTTCTTTGCTGTCGCGAAGTCAATCAACCTCATGCCGTTGTCGGATGTTTCTTCATGGAGGCTGAATTTTCCGACGGTGGGACCAAAAACATTTTCCGTTCCGATTTTTGCATTAAAATCTCCTAGCCGAATATTAATGTCATGGCCAAGGCAGCAGTTTCTAGGCGCTCGTAAAAAATGTCTGGCCTATTCATCTTTGTCTTCCGTCGGAGCATGGGCGCAAATAAGACTGATGTAGAATAACTTCGCTCATCTTCGTTGCATTTTCATAGTAGGAAGGTATTTCCGATGCCTCAACCCATTTTTTATAGTTCTTAATGAATGATGAAAGTAGCTATTCAATTGATATTAAAGAGGGCTTTGCATTTTAATGCTTATTAGAGCCGTTGATTGGTATCTTTCATCCCCTACGACACCAGACACTATTTTATAGGAAAAACCAGTAAGGAAAGTAGTAAAGTCGGACGGGGCCGACTATATGATACCCTTCACCACTATGGGTATATTAAACAGGACTATTAGCATGAAATTGGATGAAATAAAATATGTGATATTTATATAAATGTGAATCTACCTAGATCTATCCATAAAGTATGTAAATCGACTTCAAACAAATATAAACAGGTCATCCGTTGGGCTATGACTGTATTTCTAGAAAACGCAAATATATAATTTTATGCTCAATTTTGTACGATGTGCAAACTTTGATGTCAATCTGACTAACATGAGGAGTTTAATATGGTGCGTCAATTACTTAAAATCAATCTATAATAAAAAGGGCTATATCTATCTAAATCTGGACCGATTTTCACGAAACTTGGCAGACATCATTCTAGACCTAAATGATAAGACTGTACCAAATTTCGTGCAAATCAAAGGATATATAGGGACTGTGGTGCACCATTTACATGAAATCGGACGAAACTATATATGGGAGCTATATCTAAATCTTAACCGATTTTCTTGAAAGAGGGCAGACATTATTCTAGGCTCAATTCAGTACGTTATGCCAAATTTCGTGCAAATCGAAAGATATATAGGGACTTTGGGGCACCATTTACATGAAATCGGACGAAACTATATATGGGAACTATATCTAAATCTGGACCGATTTTCACGAAACTTGGCAGACATCACTCTAGGCTTAATTCAGTACGTTATGCCAAATTTCGTGCAAATCAAAAGATATATAGGGACTTTGGGGCACCATTTACATGAAATCGGACGAAACTATATATGGGAGCTATATCTAAATCTGGACCGATTTTCTCGAAACTTGGCAGACATCATTCTAGACCTAAGTGATTAGGCTGTACCAAATTTCGTGCAAATCGAAAGATATATAGGGACCTTGGGGATCCATTTACATGAAATCGGACGAAACTATATATGGGAGCTATATCTAAATCTGGACCGATTTTCTCGAAACTTGGCAGACATCATTCTAGACCTAAGTGATTAGGCTGCACCAAATTTCGTGCAAATCGAAAGATATATAGGGACTTTGGTGCACCATTTACATGAAATCGGACGAAACTATATATGGGAGCTATACCTAAATCTGGACCGAGTTTCTCGAAAGTTGGCAGACATCATTCTAGGCTTAATTCAGTACGTTATGCCAAATTTTGTGCAAATCGAAAGATATATAGGGACTTTGGTGCACCATTTACATGAAATCGGACGAAACTATATATGGGAGCTATATCTAAATCTGGACCGATTTTTACGAAACTTGGCAGACATCATTCTAGACCTAAATGATTAGGCTGTACCAAATTTCGTGCAAATCCTAAGATATATAGGGACCGTTTACTTTAAATCGGTTAAATATATATATGGGAGCTATATCTAAATCTGAACCGATTTTTCCCAATTTCAATAGGGTTCGTCCTTGGGCCGAATAAGTGACCTATGCCAAATTTCATCCAATTCGGATCATAAATGCGACCTGTACTTTGTTTACAATTTAACATGGAGAGACAGACAGACGGACGGACGGACGGACGGACATGCATAAATCGACTTAGAAAGTGATTCTATGTATATTCTCAAAAGGAACCATGAGTCTATCTCGATTATTTTTGCCTGTTACAAACATATGTACAAAGACATAATACCCTGTACCACAGTGTGGTGAAGGGTATAATAATTGTTTAATAGGAAATAGAAATACATTTTTGAGTATATTTTTTACATCAGCCATATTTAAATATAAATTTTCATAGAAACCTTCACTATTATTAAATCCTGTTTTAGCAAAATTTTTCATTATAAACTGTTTACTAATTTCCCGTTTTTTCTACTTTTCATTCTAGGTATGTCCACTGAATTGTTTAGAGAGTAAGTAAGTAAACAAAGTTTAACTAAATACTGCTGCAGCCAATTTTGTCTTAACTTTTGCTGTTGTTCCGTTAATGTGTCCACAGTTTTTTGTTCTTGTTCGCTTAATGTACATTAAAAACGTTGACCTATATTTCTTGTCGCTTGCAACAATTTCTAGTTCAGATTTATCTTTAGGAACTGCAATAACGACGACAACAGCAGCAATAATAATGTAACCAGTAGTTCGTTGGTTAGTTGCAGTCCGGTGCCATAACAATTTAGCCAAGTTCAAAACATGACTGCAAGGCCTCCCCTTAACAGTAATGGTGTATGTATGTGTGTGTAACTTGCAAGCGGTTATCGTTTTTAACCGTACCGCACCAGACCAACAGTCAACCTCCACCAATCTAAAACGAGGCCAACATTTATGGTCACAACTTTATCCTTGGACATGTTGTAGTTGCTGTTATTTTTCTTTTTTTCATATCCTTTTGTGTCATAATTTTGTGTTGTCGTTGTTGTTGCCGTTGTTTTTTTCATATTTTCTGAAATTGTCATCCGGAAGAAGAAATGGGAAAAAAGGAAACAGCAGCTCACGATCAACCTAGTAGTAACCATCAGTGTTGATTTTGTTGTTGTCATTGTCATCAGCATCCTCATCATCAGCATCGTCACGACCAACATCCTCACCAGCAATATCTAGAATGGCAACAGTAGTTGTGCTTCCCGCCATGTTATTATGATGACATAATGTCATCAACACTTCATGTCCCTGCCTTTTTTTCTTCCACCCGACCGACCGGCCAGGTGCTACTTATGATAGCCCCGGAAAAAGAAGTAGGATAGAAAAAAGGAGTAAATATAGCTCCTGCAACAAAACAAAAACTACAATTTCGTGACTGCCATCATCACGATTTTGTAAAATGTAATAGCCTGTTTAACTTTAATATACCCTAGTTTTTGGGGGTATTTGATGTTATCACCCCTCCGTCTTAGCCCTTCCCTGTCATACTTCTTTTGTTGGAAGTCTTCTCTATGTTATTATTATGCTGGAAGATAACATGGGATTTTACCGGTTATCGTTGCCGGTTGGAGTAGATATGTTCACGTTATCATCATAATTTTTGGCATAGATTTTTTTGGCTGGTGCCTTTTTTTACTTCAACACATTCCCGAAGCTAATGTGGTTATTTATGTGTCAGGACGTTAAGCTGTTGTATAACATTGTCGTGATGACGATGATGATGGGTTTAAAGTTAATTTTCTTTCTATCAAAATTGGGAAATATGTTTGGTTAAAAATAAGGTGGAATGACACAGTTTGTCAGGTAAATTTTGAAACAATATTGAGGGATTTTTAGAAGTCAATAAGTGAACAAAGGATATTATTAGGATGGGGACAAATAAATCCATTTTTTATATGAACTATAATAACTTTATTTAACATGCTTCAGAAAGTCCGATTTGGGCCAAATATGCACCGCTTTTTTGTATGATTTGTTGCAATTTAAAAGGAAACTTCATAAAGCCTCTATCATAGAAGTCCTGCTCTCTATATGTAAAATCTCTAGTAGTCAATTTTCACAATCCTCCCTAGATACATTAAAACTTCCCAACCAAACTCTCGAAGTTTCTGGCTAGCCATTGTAAATGTTTGTGGCCTAGCGTTGTCCTGGTGGAACACGACACCACCTCTCCTGTTGGCCAATTCTGGCCATTTCTGGTCGTTGGTGTGGCACCCAAACATGAATCCAGCTTTGTGTAAATGGTCTAAAACAGTTCTATGGTCTATTTTTAGCTCCTGGGCGATGATACGACAGCTATAATGCCGGTCAAATACGACCATTTCTCCAATTTTATCGACATTTTCGACAACCGGCCTAATGGATTTCTTTTTCCCCAACCAAATATATATGCCAATTGGTCTGTTTTAAGAACAGAGGCTTTTATAAGGACCAAATCGTCAATTAGAAACCACAGATCTTTATAAAGACCAATTGATATTTATAAACCCCTGTTTTCTCTATACTGACTAAGTGGTATTTATACAGACCTATGGGCTGTCAGTTGTTCTATTAGTGATATCAATACACTTCCAAACTGTCTGTTTACATACCAATTGGTCTTTGTAGAGGCATTTGGTGTACATACAGACCAATTCGACTATATAAACCCCTATGTTCGACATACAGACCAATTGATCTTTATACACACCTGTGTTTTTATACTGACCTGTGGTCTTTCAGCAAGCCTGTATATACTTTCAATCGGCCTCTGTGCAGACTTATTGGGCTTTATATAGACCTATGGTGTCTCTGCACATCTACTGGTCGTAGCAAATCCAATTGTAAGTGGAAGTAACTTTATAAATCCCTTCAATACCAAACGAGGATTCAGAAAAGTTGACAGTTTGTCGTGTGACCTGTTTAACATCCTGCTGGAAAAGGTCATACGAGATGCAAATGTGAAAAGAAGTGAGACTCTGTACACCAAAGCGAGCGGTAACATCCACCTTTCAACGAATTGAGAAGGAGTCTGCCAAAGTGGACCTGGCAGTAAATGGCGAGAAGAACAAGTTGATAGTTTCAACGCGCAAAACGTCCAGAAGACTCGGACCAACTGTGGAACCTGAAAACTACAACTTCTAGATAGTGAATGATTTTATATACCGCCATAAAGAATGACATCCGTTTTAAGATGAGGCAGGTCTTGGGGTATTTGAGAGGAAAACTCTCCGGATGATATATGGGCAGATCTGCGTCGACGATAAATATCGCCATAGAATGAACCATGACCTGTATCATCTATTCTCAGACATCGACGTAGTCAGACGTATCGAGCTGCGGCGACTACGTTGGCTAGGCCATGTTGTGAGAATTCAAAACTATCCTAATTCAAGAATGTCCATTTATAAAAATCTCAAAAACTCGTGAAGATATAGCCGATTTATAATGCGACAGATATCTATTAAGTCTTCTACAAATCTGGTTGAAAATCTTAAGTTATAATTATATAATTTGAAATTTTCATTTCCCTTGACCTCCTTATTTGCTATATAAAACCATTCGCCACATATACCATCCATGTATATTAAATTTATCATTCATGTTGAAATCACGAGAGGGCTCGGTATATTGGGAATTTTGAGCAAGTTTTTCAATCGTAGACTATAATTTGGATTCTTATTGAGGAGCAAATATTTCTACCAACACCTTTCTAAAATGGTTTACTTTTTTGTGCCTCCATAACGGTAACAAATTTCAGAAATTTGAGGAGTTTGAAGACGTGTTTCAATTAAATTGGCTTTAATTTTTTATTTTGGATTGGGATAAAATATACCTATCAAATTCTATAAATATTGGACTAAGCTTCGGGGTTGCCGCCATATAATGATTCGATGAGATGAAATTTGACACAGGTCATTTATTTGACCAAAGGGCAACGACTGAAGACAATTGATTCAGATAAAGATGAATCGATTTTCATTAATTTCAATAGTTCGCAAAAGTCTCAAAATTCGTTCCACATTATTTTAAATTATGCACAAAAGCCCGGAAACACATGCTAATTATTGATAAACTTCCATATATTTTTTGACCGATTTTATGTTAATGCCCCATAAAGTCTTATTCGATGTGCACAAAATTTTCCATAGCTACATAATCTTGGATGGCGAAAACGAAACAATATCCGATTTTCACAAAATTAGCCTATAATAAATTGAAATATCCAGGGTCCACCAAATTTGCTTATTTGCGAATAACAACTTACAAGCAAAATAGGTTTAATTCAGTATACATATACGAAGTCAATTCATAATCATTAACTATTTATATTGACCCCATTAAAGTAATCTCTCCAAGATATAATACGCTAGTGCCAACGTATTTGCCCATCCTCGAAACCCTTTCAAAATGGGTAGTAAACGCTTTTCGTTTAGCGTTAGGTGGAGAAAAACGTCAGCGAGGACCAAAAATACTCACAGAAAAAATTAATTATTTTATTATATAAATAGTGTTCAGAAAATGTTGCTAATGTCCGGATTTCTGCATTTTATGAATGCAATTCCTAAACATTTAAATACTGTTTTCTGTTGTCAGGGGGAGATAGAGACAAAACCCACTTTGTAGTTGTGTTTGGTGGTGGTGGCGCGTTCATTATGACACAAAAATAGTTTGTCTATTTCTTCTTGATTTTTTTTTGTCTCGATTCTTCTTACTTTGTTGTTTTGCGTTATTATAAGTATCATATACAATGTTAAACTTGTTGCTCGTACTGTATTTGGCATTTATATCTAATTAATTTGGAAAACACATATGCGAATTTTATAACACCAATGCAGAAGTCGGTAGCAGTGACTGATATAAAGAATCAATAGAAAGCAAAACTAGCCACAATCGCGTGAGTGGAGAGATCGCGGTTATAAGCAAGAGAAAATGAAGACAAACAAACGGTTGCAAAACTGACAACCACCAAGTGAGAGAAGAGGCAGAGGACGATACAAACAAAACACAGCCGAACTATGAATGGTGGTGGTATGTTTTTCTTAGCAGGAGTACATATGTTTTTGTCAAAGGAGAGAGAGAGGAAAATAGTGGTAAAGTAGACTGAAGTATGAATATAGTTTTGTTATTATGAAATGTTTATATTTTTGGAAAAAATAGTGGCTTTCTCATGATTATAAGAATTTTTACTTATATTCTATGGAAAAATAAACAATGAAAGAAAATATTAATTAACAATGATTATGAGTTTGTTTTTAGACAAAATCTGACGTATAAGCATCGATGATTTGAGCTGATGATTTGGTATCTTCGAAGTTGACCGTTGTATTGAAAGTTAAAGCTATACACCCTTGATTTTTGATTCTGTATCATCGATGGTTTTCAACAGCTCCTGAACGAGGTCAATGCGACGTTGATTGTGGTAAAATTTAAAAACTGAATTAAAAAAATCGAACTGAATTAATATAACAGGACTAAAGTTTCTATCTGTCAACAACAATATAAAATATTTATCCCAAATAGATTCTCCATATTTCGACTCCTTTATACTTACTCCTCAGTATAGCCAACTAGACAATTTCATGATTATGCATTTCAAATATTTTGATTTTATTCATTTCGCAATTTTAAAGTATTTTTCCTATTTTATACTCCTTACCACCCCTTTACCACCCCTTCTAGCATTTCATCTGTTCGAGATAATAACATCGAACAGTGAAATAAACATAAGAGGTGGTGTATAAACTGAAATGTTATTAGATTGTAATAAAATGGCTGTTGCTAAATGGAAACGGATATTGTTATGTTGAATATCGAATGATTTTTATTGTCGAACACCATGAAAAAAAAACAACAACGAACGAAAGGGAATTATTATAAATTCCAATATTCTGTTTTTATTGGTGGGTGGGTGGTATAGGTGTAAAGAAGGAAGTTCCGGGGAATGAGACGTTTTAAATAAAAGGACAAAGCAATAAACACTCAACACGTAAATGGAATCTAAAGGTATTTCTAATGTTTTTTGCTGTTACTCCAATAGGAAAAATTTTGAAAGGGAGTTCAAAAAGAAGTTAGGGTGGAGGAGGAAAGTAAAAGTGGGGCATAGAAGCGGTTTGAGTAAATGTTTGCATTTACGTTTATGATGTCATGACTGGATAATGTGTTGAAAATTACTTCTATATTTTCTCTCCTTTCGTTTTTGTTGCTTTTAGAGCATTGTTCTTATTGGCAAAGCTGTTGCTATTCTTCTTGCCTTTCTTTGTTGCCATTTTAAGAGGTGTTTAAAGTTCATCAGACGTTCATTCGAATTCCGGAACTTTTATTACACAACGAATTGAAGATAATAATAAAACAGAATTTTACGTGTACCTTCAAACGTATTGCTACTAAAATGTTGATCTGTTTTGGGTGATTATGTTTTTCACGTTTTATTTTAGTATTTTCTTTGGATGTTTTTGTTTTACGTTCGAACTTTAATACAGTGATATTTTCTTTATAGATATTCTAGATGGATTTTAAATTTTAATATATAAATGATTTCTAAAATTAGAAATTTTATTTTAGGGAGCTTTAGTAACTATAAAAATTGGGAACCTAAAAAAATTAGTACATAAAATAATATTTTAGTCCTTTATCCTTTTGTCAGATCTAACAAATAAAATTATACCTTGACATTTCTATGTCCTACACTATTTTATACCTACGAATGAAATATGCCCCCTAGACATATCATTTATTACATTTAGGCAAATCAATAAATTAATTTTCCACTAATCCTGTCAGATCCACTCTCTACCCCCACTTAACACCATTTACCAACGGAAAATACTCACATAGAATGTTAATCAATCAAAGTAACATCACGTTATATGGCCATTTATATATTTTTTTTTACAACGGATGAATAACGAACAAATATAAAGGTAACAAAATATATATAAAAAAAAACAAAATATATAATTTAATATATCTTTTGTTGTATATAAAGGAACAATGAAGAAAACGAATGATGTGTCACACGAAATCTATGGCCCAGACAAGTAGCAACAGCAACAATAAGAAAATGCAAAAATTGCACGTATTAGGCACATTTGTTTTGCCTTCGTCAATGTTTTGCTTCCTTTGTGTTGGGTGACCTCTATTTTTTTGGGCTCCATGGACTTTCGTGGGAACATGAAAATAGAAATATCAAGAAAAATGGAAAGGCAAAAGTGTGACAAGTGTGCCAAAATTCGGGCTAAAGTGAAAAATGTTCTC